CGCCGAGTGAACCTTGTCTGAAGTGTTTTGGTGCCTCTTTGACAAGCTGCAGAAATCCACTAAGTCTTTAATCCTTTATTCTTCATCTAACAGGAAAAGAAAAGCCCCAAACAATGTTTGAGGGAAGGACACTGTAGGAGTTTGCAAGTGACATTTTTTGCATGTAAAAGATCAATGGTAAGTGTTTGTAGTGTTTTTTCTTCTGCTGGCAGCCTGGTTGCTTTCTGCCCTTTTCCCTGCTTTCTGAAGAAAACCTCTTAATCTCTTTAATTCGGTAGAACTGGTGTCATTAAGCAGAACAGGTCTTGCCTTTGAATTCCATTTAAAATATGGATGTTGTACACTGTTCTCAAGAAGAAAAAGTTGCGGAGTGTGAACAAGATGGAAAAAAGCATCTTTAAACTGGCTTCTTTAGGCTTAGCATGTGACACATAAATGAGGTCAGTTTTTCTGCCCCTTTTTTTTTTTTTTTTTAGTAAAGCTTTGTTTTAAACAGCATTAGTAGATCAGGTAGTTGTAAGATAAGATGTTGACAAGCTAATTTTTGTCTATGAATAAGGAACACTTAAGTGAAAAGAATGTCCTACTGAAAGAGATTTCCACTGTTGAAGCACCAGGCTCTTGCATTCATTAATTTTCTTGGAGGGCTTGAATTCATGGTAAAGAAGGGTTTGGGTTTTTATATGGTGAGCTGTCAAGTATGGTGATGAGAAGCCAGCTGTAAAAATGTAATTAGATAATGTTTCCCTGGTTTTGATAGGAGTTCCTTGTCTAGAAACACCGTGCTTGTGTTTCCATAACACTTAAAAAATAGTTAAGGTGTGGCAAAGATGGTTTTAAAACCTTCTAAGCATGGGTAGTGCAGGGCTCATTTTTATTTTTAGCTGATGTGATACATAATGAAGAATACACAGCTGCAACTGTACCTAAAATTTTTCTTCCATTCTGTATTTTTGCTTAAGTCATAGCAGCTTTTTGTACCTCTCCCATACAAACTGTATTAATCCATAAAGTGACAAATTATTATTTCTGTGGACAGGAAAAAATGCTGTGTATTTAGTGCTTGAAATACCTGTTTGATGCTGCAGTAGCAATATATGTATCTCCAGGTGATGGGCCTGTATTTCTGTCTGTAGATTGTTAAGGGAGCCTGATGAAACTTAAGTTTCATGTGGGAAGAGGCCTGGCTCTCATATGATTCTGTTTATCTGCTCCAAATTCTAAGGCTGAAGAATGGCATTTTTCTTGTCTTGTTAACTCTGTAAATTTCAATAATTGTGCTCTGCCAAATTTCTTACTTGGTATAATAGTGAGACTTAAAGAGTGTTTAAAAACAAGTTAGATGCTAAATGGAGATGTGATTTACAATATGCTAAAATCATTAGGGGTTTTTCCTAGATGCTGTTTTCTTTGTAAGGAAATACAGTCTCTTATCAGAGGAGTAAACTTTAGTACGCTTTAGATATTGAAGTGGGAACAAGGTTTAAAGTGGAAGCTGCTTGGTTATTGGACAAGCTGTGCCATCTTGCAGTTTAGTTCTTTACAAATTTTGCTGCAGTTCTGAATCCTGAAAGAGGGTTGGTTAAGGGAAGTAAAAGATATGTCCTCAATCTAGTATCTGAATATGGCTGAATTGCAGTCTGTAACTGCCATCTTCAAGACTACTATCTAAATTCAGGAGAATTCTCCCAAGGTCAAAGTATGTTTTTCTGCTGCACTGGGAAAGAACTTGCAATTTAGTTTCAGTAAGTGCGGCACCATAGCTGTTATTCTAGCTTTACTGCCATTTTTTGCCTTTCATTAAATGCTTTTTTGTAACAGCCAAGAAGAAATTTGCAGATTTTACAAGCTGAATATTATTTCAGTTTTTACTGATTTTTTTTTTTCAGACACTTGTTGTATTTAAGTTATCCCTGTCCTCACTGACATTTGCAGTGACTCCCACTTCAACCCAATCTGAATTTTCCTCCATCGGCTTGTCAGTTAAGTTTGGAGAAGCAGGTCTAAGTAGATTTACACTACCTTGTTTTCATGTGTTCCTTGCCATGCCACCGTGCTGTTCTGTCATTTGTGTTGTTACACTGTTTATTTCAGAACGCACAGGATGCTTATCACATAATTTTAATTTTGTGTGAGATTTAAGATAATACAACGTCTGTTTCCATGGAAGAGCTCTATGACTTGTTGGCTACATCACTGGTTTTCTTTACAGTGACTTCTGCTTTATTCTGTGCTTTTTTCTGATGTTACAAAGTGCCGAGATCGCACAAGCACTCTAAAGTATTTCTTTTGCAAAAGATATGGTTTTAATATATTGACTTAAATTTTCAGTTGGATACCAGAGCAAGATTCAGAGGAAGGAAGGGATACTGAAGTCTTCATGAAGAGACCCAGCCATGGGAAATCAGGTTTCATCAACGCTTTAGGCAAAACAGAGACTAAAGTAAGAAGATTGCATCTGCTGCATCCTTTCATGCAGTATTTTCATGGAAGGTATCTACTCCCGAGTATTCCGATAGGTTGACCTGGATATGCATTTAAATGTTTAAAAGAAGGCAGGCATAAAACTGCAAGTTCTGGCCAAAATGGGTACTTGTCACGCACTTGCAATAAAATATATAAAATCCAGATTAAGCTGCAGAAGTTATCATTGTGTTTTGAAGTGAGGCTGTCTTTTGTGGTTTTACTAACTCTGATCATGCTTTACTATGACAAATAATACAAGATATGGAACTGGGAGTTCACTCGACTGGTATCGCAGAGGATATACCTCAGGATAGAGCATTTCCCAGAGATGATGAGTTGACCAAGGCTGTGAAATGTAAGTGCAAGCTGCTTCCTACCTGGTAGGTTTGTTACCCAATAAACCTGCAGTAATAGGTAGGAGTGGCGATGTTTTTGCAGTCCCACGTATACAAGAATGGCATCTCTTTCCTCTTGCTACGAATTCCTTTTAACATGATGATTGATGTGTGTGGTTATTAGCACAGTCTAGTCTTGTTGGACAAGTAGTTTAAAATTTGGTTACTCTAAATTAAAAGATACCTGATTTATCTTTCAGTAATCTGTCTTCTTATTGTATTGACACAAGTCCAAGAGAACTATAGCATTATTCTAGTCGATGACTTGAAAGCTGCATGCTAGGGTGTAGCTAATTAGGTATCTTTGGATGGGTGAGGAAGGTGTTCCTCAGGCCAACAGTTAAGGAGACCATGGCTGCTATTGCTGCGTTCTGAAAGTATTTACACCAGTATTTAAGTTCCTCTGAGATGACCCTGTGTGATCCTTCTGTATTATTTTCCAAGCAAAAGTATAAATACTAATCCAAAAGTGTACAAACAAGGGATGATGCTATTGTGTTTATAGGAAGTCATGTTCCACAAATGTACTTTGTGAGCATTTTTCTTGCTTTTACGTTGTCACTTCTCTCTGAATTCTTTGGTTCACATTTATGGGTGTAAAATGTTCAAATTGCCATTCATATTCATTTAAATTGTAACTAGTTTCTGCTATGTGCTTCTTAAAACTTGCTCTTCCTTTAGAATTTTCTTGTGCTTAGTCAAATTTTATATAGTTTCATAAGTTATAAACCAGCTGCAGTGAAAAAGCAAAGAGATTAATAGAGGAAAATATTGTTTCGCTTTCCTTTGATCAAGGATGACGGTGGCAGATCTGTCTCCAGTATGACAGTGGTCTTCGAGACATAGGTAACATCGGTTAGTCTCTCTTGCCCCACCCTGGTAAGGAGGTGGGATTTAAGGGGGTAACAAGCATTAAATACTGCTTAAACCGTGACTGTGGTCAATATTTACTGATTCTGTTTAAGAACTTGTTTCTGAAGAATGTTTCTTTTTCCTTCCTTCAGTGTGTCTCTACCTCCTTCCCTGCCTTTTGAAGCCTTTAAAAAATAATTGGTAGTGTAGCTCTTACATGTGGAAACTCAAATAACTTCAGACAAGCTGATTATAAGCAAGGTTAGGCAATAGTGAGAGGGGAGAGAGTCACAGTAACTTCTTTTATTGCCTAAGCTTATAGCCATGCAGCTGATTTACTGCTGCGCTTTCCCGTCGCGACAATCTAGGAGAAACGACGTATCGCCAGGGACTTGCCCTGGGGAGAAACGGACCAACACAGATACTGTGGATCAAGCGATTTCTCCGTTTATTTGCTGCATAACATTCGGTTATATACCATAACCATGCGCAAGCCATCTACTGATTGGTTAACATGTGCTGTTCACGCACCTAAAGCAATAGTTTGATTGGATAAGGTCTTCTGATCACGCGAATGATTCCTCCTGTCTGTGTCTTGCCTGGTGTCCTGCTTTCAGTCACGTAGGCCCAACTTGTTCAGCTTTTTGTGCTTATTTCATCAAACTTTGTAGCAACAGTTAGCCTTCGCTATGTCCTTGAGGCCTGCTGCTTGCAGAGGCCTCTGGCTCACAGATTGAACAGTCCCATTGTGTCTCTCGTTCACTATGTGTCTATTCTTCTAATTATCCCACAATTTACATTTAGTCTGAACAGATGCATGCAACGCTTACAGTTTGTAA